GAGAGAGAGAGAGGGTACGGTTTTGAAATGAAGAGGAAAATTAAAGAGAAATGAGCTGGAGTTGAGGGATTTAATGGAGAGAGAGAAGATTTGAAAATAGATTGGAGAGAGAAATAGATAGAGTACGGGAGAGAGATAAGGTAAGTATCAAATATTTGATTGATTGGTTTTGAAATTTGAAAATGAGAGAAAATGGAAGGAGAGATAAATGCACGTGATTGAGAAGAGAAATGGTATAAAATAAACATGATTAAGGGGGTGATTGGGAAGTGATTAAGGCTGATTGGGAAAAGAATTTGGAAGGAATTCAAATGGGAGGAAATTAAGGGAGAGAATATTATGGGAATATTTTGCATGATTTTTCAAAATAAACATTATATTAATAATTAGACATAATAATATTAATAAATAATTAACAACTAAATATTTATATTTTTACATATGTACTAATATACTAAGCTCAGGTTTACATTAATAATAACAAGGTCACTAATAATATTAGCTACCAAAAGATTATATATAAAAATTACTAAACCGTAAATTAATATTTAGCATAATTAAAAATAGAAGACTATATATTTTATTATTTATTTATTTTGAAAACTCAGAGAATTCCAGAATTTAGGAAAAGTATTAATAAAATATAATATAATATTTTAAATACTAGAAAATTTTATTTAAAATACGTATTAAAATTTACGGTTGTTACATCCTACCCCTCTTAAAACAAATTCCTTCCTCGGAATTAAAAGAACACAAGAACAAAGATATGGAACGAGAGTGGATACTCACAAATCGATGAGACAAGAAACAATGTGAAGTTCCAGAGTCAAATGATGATAAGGCAATAACGGAAGAAACAAGAACCTTATCTAGTGTTGAAGGAAAATACATCTAAACTAGCACTCATAAATAAATCCTATCATAATATCATAATGCAATGCGAAATAAGAAAGTTCATACGCAAATAAAATTAAGAATAAACTATTCTCACCGGTGATAACTTGGTTGTTCGCTTCTGCTTCCACAGCTGACATCGTGAACATCTGACGAGGTGGTTGCTGCCTTCGCGCTTCCTGATAAACCTGCTGCTGTTGAGGAAGAGACCCTGCTTGAGGATAAGGTCCGTGCTGGGCTGGAGCTGCTGAGTCTGATCGAGGTGGAGCTGGAAGAGCTGCTCGAACTGGAGGTGGGGGCAAGCGAGCTTGCTGTCGCTGCGGGCAGTCCTGGCTGACATGGTCGGGGGACCCACAGATGTAGCACAGATTAAGAAGCTTGCGGCATTCATGCTGAGTATGTCCAGTGTAGTTACAAAAGGAACACCGCACAGATGGCTGGTTGCGAGTCTGCACTCCAGGACGCTGATAGGGATGCATAGGAGGAAGTGGCTGGCGATGAGAAAACTGCTATCGCTGTGGATTCTGCTGCTGCCTCGAAGGTGAACGCTCGATATTCCGGACTGGAGCCGTTTGTGTCCTGCTATGAATCACGTGAGAGTCTTCAGGATCCTTCTGAACGCTCTCGATCTCGCGTGCTGCATCCAACACGGCGTCGTGGGTCGCAAGTGCTCTACCAGCTAGAGCAAACCTGATATACTTATCCAGGCCCTTCTGAAACTGATGCCTCCTGATCCTCGGGTCTGTAACTAAGTGTGGAGCGTATCGGCTCAAAGAAGAAAACTCGGCCTCGTACTCATCTACTGTTTGCCCTCCTTGCTTGAGCTCCACAAATCTTCGCAAAAGCTCGTCCCGAGCTGACTGAGGGAAGTACTTCCTGTTGAACCGGTCTGTGAAGGTATCCCACAAAATCGGTCTCTTCAAATGAGCTTTCTCTGCAGTCCACCAAATCCGAGCGGTGTCGGTGAGCTGAATATCCATGAGGTCCACCCATTCAGCATGGGGGATGCGGGTCACCGTGAGAATAGTCTCCGTGACCTTAAGAAACTCCTCTGCTGCTAAAGGTCCCTCGGCACCAGAAAAGAAAGGAGGTCGCATATACCGGAACTCCCTGACGCTAGACTCTGGACGAGGGGGAGGCTGGGGCTGGGGGCCAAGTGCTGCTGATTGGTCGCCAGTCCCTGAATCATCGCCAGAAGTTGATTGGGATCCACTTCGGGCTGTGGGGCACTGCTACTAGACGGGTTATCGTTACTACGAGTTCCCACCATGATTCTAAAGGAACGAGGATCAAAAAGAAAATTAAGGTTAAAATCAAATAATATATTTGGAAAATAGGAACTAAAACATAGTTATTAAATAATAGTATAAGAACTTAATTATAGTCTAAAATAATAATATAAGAACTTAATTGTAGTCTTACGGATGAAATATGATATATATCTAAATTGTCTACCATATTCTTACTAGTGATGATTCGGACCGTGACCTGCATGGGCCACCAAAAAAACCTGTCACGCCCCGCTTTCCAAAATACCGGGGAACCGGAACGTGAACAAGCCCGCGGCGTATTAGATTGAGAAGAAATATTCACTACTATCTTTTTTTTTTCTTTTTTTTCCTTTTCTTTTCTTCTCAATCCAATACGCTAAGCGTCTGGAAATAAGTATAATACGAAGTCACAGGTCCCCGATCACACATAGCAAGAATATAAAGACAACCCAGAATAAAAATAGACA